GTGAGTGTGGAGCGTCGCTGTCTACTGCAACATCAAGTTATTTGTCAAGATGTGTTGTCTAACAACGACGCATTCTAGTACACTAGGCGACGGACAGCCGCACCTGACAAAAATGTATTGCAGCGATGAGCTGAAAGCGAATTGACTAGTGACACACAAGATCGCAAAGTGTTGGCGAAAAGCAATAAGCTGAGATGTTCATTTACAGTGCGACGGCATAAACGCAAAATGAGGCGACGAAGACTTGGACGACGGTATCACCAGGCTATAGCTGAGTGTTTATGCGATATCGACCCCCTGACAGCTGAAAGAAAAGGCTCTTGTTTTGCTGCCTACAAAGGAAAGATCTCAGTTGACATCTCAATAACACCGAGAAGTCTTCATGCATCTAGATGTCTTTGCGATCTTGATATGGTCTCCAAAACTCTTTGGCCATGTTTTCCGTGTGAGTTTCATGTTATTCTTCCTTTAGGTCAGGTAATCATAACTTATTAGTGAATGCAAAGACGATAAACATAATGTGGACTTTTAGATAACACCTGGAAAGAGAAACTTTGCATAGAGTGTGTTGACGGGACAGGACATTGCCCAATGCGATTTTACCGCGGAAACCAAAAATACGAAGACATTATGGATCTAGTAGACCTCTGCTTATGTCACAAAGAATACAACCACTGTGTTGCCAATCCAGAAGATGGAGTTATCGTCGAAATCAGTCCGACTGATGAGCTTGACACCCTCAACATCACAGCACGTTCAGAAGCACAGTTGAGAGTAAAGCAAAAATCTACAACAACAACCACAACGGAAGCACCGCAAGTCACACAAGCGCTAGGATTTGAGGTGAATTCTCAAATATAGAATTAGAATTCGAAGTGAAATTTGACTTTTAGAACCTCACCGACGAGATTGCGATAGTGACTCAAGCACAACAGAATCTAATGTTCGCTGTTGGAGCAATGACGCCAGAGCAGAAAGAGGGCATGTCGCATCAACTAGATGAATTCGTCCTCAAATGCTCCTTTAATCAAAAGGATTGCGACATGGAAAAGTAAGTCTCAATCATGTAAAATGCATACATCATTAGACAACGTTTAGCTTCCTTTTCCTCTAATCGAAACACAAAAATCTCCTCTTCCAAGAAATTTTTACATCTTCAGAGTGCTTCTAAGACCAGATTTATGGTTAAAGCTAAATCATTAATCTGCGCGTGGCCAATCACTTAAAGAGAAAACTTTCAAGTTTTCCTCATCGGCAAAGCACAGCTAGACTTATGCAAATAGAAATCATGTCTAGAAACAAACTATGTTTTGCAAGTAACATGGTTCCATACTACGTCATGGAACAAACTTCGACCTACAAAATCTACTCGGTTGACATATATTTCGTTGTTCCCTCTCGTAATAGCCCTTCTCAACCTCACGGGGTATCGTGCCCTCATTTAAGATTATATTATTAAGCGACTTTACGTTATACTATGACAACACATATGGGAACTGCTACACTTTCAATCACGGTGGAGCATCATCACATCGAGCTGGTGCCAATTATGGTAGGTCAAATACTTGCACTCAAAACAAAGAAAGATAAATTGAAATCCCCTTCAGGTTTACGCATACTCTTGTATGCAAACGTCAGTGAATATCTACCAACATCCGAATCAGTAGGATTTCGGATCACAGTACATGACAAGCACATAGTCCCATTCCCAGATGCTTTTGGTTACAGCGCTCCGACTGGATTCATGTCTTCCTATGGTGTTAGAATGGTTGGTTTACGGCGAAAAGGAAAAGGGGATAAAACCACTATCTGCGCCCTCTCACCTCAAAATCACAATACAACCATCAACATCTTTAA